GAGATCCCGTGGATGCAGCGTTGTGCCTATCCCACTAATCTGCAGTTAATAAACACTGGGGTGTCTGTAGTTCGCTGAAACTCCTGTCTTGCGTCTTTCTTCTTCAGCGCAAAGTTGGGCTCCCTCAGCCCTCGTGAGGTTTGGGCTTTGAGAGAATGTGGGCTCTTCTCTTGCTCGTAAATGTGTCTCTTGGAGGGGAGGCTGGCAGAATCGAAAAAGGGAATTGGTTGTCCCTTTTTACCCAGCAAAATTTCTTTTCTGCCACAGTGTTGTAAAGCCAGTATCTCGCTCAGCACCTTCTCTCCGTGCTGATGCAGCAGCACGTTGTTGACTCAGGCTCTGTGAGACACACAGGTAATGGCAGTAACACAAGTGTTGCCTCACCCAGTTTGGGGCAAGGGCTGCAGTACAGACAGTACAAACTGCCAGGAGCTAAATCTCCTGCCATTAACAAAGCACCCCAGGAGACACAGTGCCTTCATTCTACTTTGGACTGTTTGTGCTTTGAACATGTGTTAGAAGGACCAGCAATAGCAAACTTCCCTTTTTTCAACATTTCTCACCACTCTCTCTCCTTTTTCTGGCCCTAAATCTGATCCACTTTCCTGGCATTTAAAGAACAGTACATTTCAAGTACCTGTCCACAAACCTCCTTTCTGTTTGCTCCTTTACTTCCTGCTGTGTTTCTGTTTTGGCTCCTGTCTCACTCTCCAGATCTGTTGCCAGAAAATCACTTAAGCACACCGAGCTAACAGGCTAAAGGAACAAGAAAGTTATAGGGAACCCCAAGACTACAGAGTCAGAAGAAGGGAGTTTTCCTCATCCTCAACTTGTAGTTCCTTTTCCTCCCATAAACTTTCTTAATCTGTGCCACTCCCATCATTTTCCCTATTTGTATCTTCCAGCTCCTGCTAAGTACCTTCAGAGGCCTCAGCTGAACAGATTTCCTCTTGCTTCCAGCAGCAAATGTCTGGCATTGTTCCTCATGGCCAGTGCTGAGTGACACAGGGCCCTGCCAAACTGAAGGGAAAAGGGAAGTTTTAGCAGATTATCACATCTCAGTCTCTTATTTAAATAAGTAGTTCATAGTCACTGGTACTTTCCACCCATCCACCCCTTTCTTAAAATTGTGAAATAATTTAGGTTAGAGGGGCCTGTGGAGGTCTCTGAAGTTCCACAAACATTACAGGAGTTTGTGCTATCTTCAGACTTTCACCATCACCCTACTATGACTCATTGTGATTTGGGTTTTGGTCTCAAATCCCTGCTCATTACAGACCACAGGAAGGCACTTAAGCCAACAATTCATGTAGGTTGATTATCAAGTGGTTTGTTCTGGATGTAAATCTAGTGCTCACTGTTTTTTCAAACCCTCAGCAACCTCCTGTCAAAGCCTGGAGTACAGACACCCATAAAAGATGAATATGACGAAAGAAGCACTAAAAGTGAGGGACTGCAGAAGAGGAAGAACCTGGCAACAAAATGGTTCAAAGAGGTGCTCTCAGGGTAGACATCATGATGCTCTGTGCATCTGGAAGTCTGAAAGAGGAAAGGAAATAATCATAAGTGGAAATGTTTGAGAAGCAGTGAATTAATTGCTGGCTAGGTACAGAGTCTGAGCCCTGTTCTGGACTGATACTGAAGGGAGTACACTGGAAATGCAGCTGCAAAAGGTCCTTGCTGGGCAGCCAGAGGCAGCATCCTCTCTGCTCCGGAAAGGAGCATTCCCATGCACATCCGTGCAATCCCACCGTGCCCCAGAGTTCAGCTCAGAGAGGGGAGTGGATAACGGGCAGAGAAAAACACAGGAAAGACACCTGGACTAGGTCCCTTCCCACATGAATTATCCCAGGTCCTGCGGCAACAGGGCTGGTTAAAGGGCAGAAAAACCCGAAAAGGGACAAGAAAACGGGGGATGCCATTCCTGAGCCTCCTCTAAGGCATCCGACGGCGCACAGGGACAATCCGCGCCGTGGTCTCGCACTCCGACCGGCACAGCAGGACCAGCCCGTGCGAGGGGAGGGGGGACAGGAGTGGGGACATCGAGGGAGGGGGGAGAAGAACGGGGACACGGAGGGAGGGGGCACAGGAGCGGGGCCGGCCCGGGGACACTCCGCCCCGGCGGGGCGGGACGAGCCGCCGGCCCCGCACCGAGGGCTGTGAACGCGGGGAGCGGCGAGAGAGCGGCCGGGGCTGCGGGCGGAGCGGGGCCGGGGGCTGGCGGGACCCCGTCGGGGATCGGGAGCGGGACTAGGACTGGGATCGGGACCTGGATCAGAGCCTGACCGCCCCGCCCCGTCCCGCAGCTCGCTGCAGTTGCGGGGTCGCCAAACGCCGTCCGGAATGGCAGCCGAGGTGAGGGTGAACTTTGCTTCTCCGGGGGGCTCAGCCGAGTTAAACTGTAAGTCCCAGAGCCTCCAGGTTCTGCCCCGGACCTGGGGAAGGCCAATAAGCGATGCGGTTCGTGCCTGACGACTTGTGTTTGGGCAGGAGGCACTTTCCAGCAGCTTGGGTAAACACCTCCCCGAACAAAAGCTGCGTTTTCGGTTTCCTTCCCTGGTGAGACGTGACCAGGCAGCTTGGCGAGTCACACTTGCTGCTTCCAAATGGCTGCTACAGCCCCGGCCTCCTCTGCTCCAGGTTACAGCCCATCATCTCTCAGGCTGTACAGCCACTGCTCCAACCAGAGCCCCGCAGCTGCCTAAAATTAATCTTTCAGTTTAGATTTCCTGATTGCAAATGGATGTGTTGCAATGTTTCTGCTGACCCACTTCTTACTTTGGTGGAAACCCGTAATACTTAAGTTATACCTAGAAATTTCTGTTCCCCAGTCCAGTGCTTAACCTCTGGAATGGCCTTTAATTTAGCATCCCCTGTGCCGTGCTCCTGGGGGCACCAAATGAGTACTGAGGACCTCTGACATTTCTTTTTAAATTCTGATCCCCCCATCTGCCTTCCCTCAGCTTTCTGACAAAGCTGCCTTAAAGATACCCAAAAGCACATGCCCACACTCCTACCTCTGTAGGCTCTCTCCTGCTGTCCTCTCAGGCCCGTTGTTTCAGCAGGGATCAGCACAGACACAGAGACAGTCACTAGGGAAAAAATTCCTGAGGTTACTCAACAGTGCTTTGTGTGACTGGTAAAGCCCCAGCACAGATCAGTTTACAACTGTCCTGCCAGCTCTTTGCTGTCCATGGTAGTTGTAGTGAACAGCAGGAGGAGAGACTTGGCAGGGGTGTTTAGAAAATCAAGTAGATTATTAATTATTATCCACTTCAAGTGTCCTTCCATTGCTTTTTTTTTGGTGCCTGAGAGCACCGCAGAGCTGCTTTTAAAGTCTTTGATAAACTGTAAGGCCTCTGCACAGGTAAAATTCTTACCCACTTCAGTGCAAGTCTGGCAGAGTTCAGGCTTGGGGGGTGTCTTACCTGGGCAAGCAAAAAGCTGCTCAACAAGTGACACACGTGGGCTGAGCCAGCGAGTCCATCCAGGTGCTGAATCACTGGAGGCAGAGGGTCCCACACACCCTGCTGGGATTGTGTACCTGCCTTTGGTCACCCAGTGAAGGAGCTGTGCAGGGGACACATTCGAGTGTGTGAGGTCACTCTGTGAATCCTGCTTTGGGTGGCAAAAAGCCCCTTTTTTTTCTATGTGTTTCAGCACCTTTTTGTTGATTTATTTTTCTGAACATTCCTGAACCTGGAATTCCCTTTCTGCCATGTGCATCTTATCATGCTGATTTTACACCAAAGCCTGCAAGCACATCATGAAATCTGGAGATGCTTCAAATGGTAACTTCAAAGCATAATGTGGCTTGTGCTGGCCCACAGCTCTTTGTCAATCAAAGAACAATCTGTTAGTTAAACGGCACAAAAAGGACTTAGAGCATACTAACTTTCACTCTAATCCTTACTGTTTTACTTTTTACCCCCTTTAAAAGGCTGTCAAAGGGTTGTTGACCTGCAGCTGCCTCAAAAGAGAAATCCATGCTGGTCTGGTACCAGGTGCCCTGATATTAATTTCAAGGACTCCCTGCAGAGGTAAAGTATCTTGGATGGTTCCTGAGCTAAACATCACACCTCAGGGGTAAATAATACTGACAGTGATGTGTCCTCCTTGTCTTCAACTACTTCCAAAGATCCTGAAGTCCAGGGGTGTTTCTGGTCAGAAAGGACAGTGGCATGGCCACTGTGTTGGATAAACAGATCATTAGATATTACATAGTACACAGAAGCTGAAATGAATTTATCAGGCCTCTTTAACTTGTTTCTTTCTCTCTCAGGGGGATAAACTTTGGGGAGGAAGATTCAGTGGAAGCACAGATCCAATCATGGAGATGCTCAATGCTTCCATTACTGTTGATCAGAGACTGTCTGAAGTTGATATTCAGGGGAGCATGGCTTATGCTAAAGCCTTGGAGAAGGCTGGAATCCTATCAAAAACCGAGCTGGAGAAGATCCTGGGTGGCCTGGAAAAGGTATGTCTTTCCTTCACAAACTGTGATGTGTGCTGGAATGAATGGCTCCTTACCTGACAGTAGCCTCCCTGTATTTAATAATCATCGTGGTATAAACATGGTATGATAATAAACATCATCTGCTGATGTTTGTAGATCTCTGAGGAATGGTCCAAAGGAGTCTTTGTGCTGAAACCAACTGATGAGGATATCCACACTGCCAATGAACGCAGGCTAAAGGTTTGGGTCCTCTGTCCTCTTGTTCCTGTTCCTCTGTAGCTGGATCTGCCTCATCTTAAGGGCATGTGCCTCTGTCCCTCTGCGAAATTCCTCTGGACCCCAAGTGCACAGGCCAGTGTCTCCAAGCCCCCTTCCATGGAAGTGTCACTGTACAAACACAGAACCCAAACTTGCCCTTCCCCAGAACACATCCCATGGCTACTCACAGGATCCTCGAGCTGAGTCCCTTCCAGGCAGGGAGATGTGCTCATGTGGAGTCTCTTGCTTAGAATACAGAGACACTGACAGAAATCCTCCTCTTGTCCTCAGGAGCTGATTGGAGACGTAGCTGGAAAGTTGCACACTGGAAGAAGTAGGAATGATCAGGTATGTACAGAATCTTTTTTTTTCCTCCTGTATTCCTCCCCCATTTCAGTTCCTTAATTGAATTTTTTATGCCATCTTTCACATGCCCTGACGCTCTCCAGCATGTACTTGGGCTTTAAACTAGTTATGCTGCAATGACTCATCCACATAGGAGAATGGGATCTGCAGGATTGCTTCCTGGTGGTAAAAAAAACACCTCCCCTGACATTGCTTTGAAAACCCACAGAAACCCTGACTGCTGGCTGGGATCAGTCCTTCTACTGATGACTGACTTGTGTTTGTTGAAGATTCTCTGATTCAAACTTAACAGATACCTGGGAAGTCCATGGAAAAGAACAGGCTCTGGTTCTGTTCATGGAAAGCAGCACACAGCAGCTTTCACAGACAGTGACCAGGGATAGATCTGGTGAGAGGAAGATGCACCTTTCCCTGACACAGAACAAGGGGACAACTGTGCCAAGGCTTTCTGCTGAGCAATATTTGGTCACCAGAACTGTCACATTTTGCTTGGTCTCACTGTGGCCAATCTCACACAGGTTGTGACTGACTTGAAGCTGTTCATGAAGAATTCCCTCTCCATCATCTCCACACACCTCCTGCAGCTCATTAAGACCCTGGTGGAACGCGCTGCCATGTAAGTCCTTCTCCAAATCCAGGGCCTTGCTGGGCCAGGAGACCTGTAGGCTCGTCTTTGACAGACACCAGTGGGGCAGCAGCAGGGGGGAGTTACAGCCCTGCCCCTGCCCTCCATCCTGGCAGCTGCTCTCACCTCCTTCTCTCCTCTGCCACACAGAGAAATCGATGTCATCCTGCCTGGCTACACCCACCTGCAGAAAGCTCAGCCCATCCGATGGAGCCAGTTCTTGCTCAGGTCAGCACCTTTCAGCCCTGGCTGGAGGAGCCTTCTCCAGCCTCGGGGCCCTGCTCTGCTGGAGCCCAGGAGTGCATCCCCCTCTGAGGGGGTGGGGACAAACCAGAGGGAATGCTGCAGAGTGGGACAGGACCTCCCCATGTTCCTGTGTGGCTCTGACCAACTGGGAACACCACTGCAGGGGTTGGGCAGTGGTGACCAACTCCCTGCTCTCCATCCTTTGGCCATTCTTACCTGCTGGGTTGTGGCATTTTCCAGCTTCAGGTGTTTCATCTCTCCTGTCCTTCCCCAGCCATGCTGTTGCTCTGACCCGTGATTCTGAGCGCCTGGGGGAGGTGAAGAGGAGGATCAACGTCCTGCCTTTGGGAAGGTAAAGTTTACTTCTTGCTCTGAGACATGACCAAGAGGCAGATCTCTACATCCCCTGGACCACGGGGGTCTCTATACCATAGGGACTGGAGAGCTGTGAGGGGGCAAGCCCAGCTTCTCTCACCAAAGAGAAGACTTTAACAGTAAAAATACTGCTCTTATCCCTTCTTGAAATCAAGAACCAAAAGGCTTTTCCTCTTTGGAAGAAAAATTCTGGTTTACTCCAGACTCTAATGAGCTTCAGAGCACATCAAAATGAACTGGGGGAGGGAAATCTTCAGAGAGGTGTCATCACTGCCTCTAGAGCTCAGTTTTGGTTGGAATGTGCAGAATATCATGCATGACTCCTGTTTCTTTCTCCCCTGGCAGTGGTGCTCTGGCTGGCAACCCACTGGGAATTGATAGAGAGCTTCTGTGTAGTGGTAAATATCTCATTGTTACTGAGAGGCACAGAACCACTCAGAATATCTGTGACTTGGGGAAGCATTGGCACATCGGCCTGATGTTATTTTACATGTGTTGCAGCACCTTAACATGGGGGTGGAGGGTAATAAATAAAAAAGAAAGAGTATGATCTGATACTCAGAACAGGATGTGGGATACCAGGAGACTTGGTAAGCCAGGAGGCTTTTTAGTGCATTGAGACAGGAGGTGCCTGTAAGGTGGGAGCATAAGCAGAACCACCCCTGGCTGTCTGGGATAAAAGCAAAGACCCCTCTAAGGATGGTTGTGTTCCTGGGACCACTCCAGGGCTCACAGTCACCTGCACACTGGGGCACCCTGGGGCATTCAAGCTTCTGTCATGCCAAGCCTGACCTCCTGTGTCCATCACCTTCCTTGCAGAGCTGGACTTTGCTTCCATCAGCCTGAACAGCATGGATGCTGTTAGTGAGAGAGACTTTGTGGGTAAGCACAACTCCAGCACTTCTTCCCAGCGCTCTTAGAAGCAGGTTCTGAGGCCTTTCCAGTTAACCTCCTCTAATAAGGGCACTGAAATCCATTATAAGGAAACAAAGCTCTAGTCAGGACTCCCTGGGTTGTCAAGCAAACCAGCACCATTTTCCCCTTCTGACTTCCTGCCTTCTCTGCAGTGGAATTCCTGTCTGTTGCCACCCTGCTGATGATCCACCTTAGCAAGATGGCAGAGGATCTCATCATCTACAGCACCAGCGAGTTTGGCTTTCTGACCCTCTCTGATGCCTATAGGTAGGTCTCAACTCCGGGCTGAAAGCCTTTCCCTCAGCCTCTCCTTCTTAGCTTTTCCCTCCTGAGAGCATGGGGCAGTGTTTGGGGTCTCTCTGTGCACAAGGCTGACACAGCATTAAAAGGCTGGCACAAAGGCAGCCTCAGGGGGAATATTCCTCAGCAATGGTCACTTATTTCTCACTTGGGTAACTTATCCAAGTCTGAGTTCAGCCCAGCAACTCCTCCCTGGCAACTGCTGGCAGAGAGAACTTCCTCCTCAGCTGGGAATGCTGCCAAAGCCCTTCCTTTACTAGCAGGGTTTGCAATCCCAACAGACTCCTTGTCTCTCAGAGTGGCATAACCACAACCCTCCCTCTCTGAGGTCACAGCATCACTTAGGCTGGCCTGTTGAAACCACCCTGGAGGGGTTTGGGTGGGAGGAGCCTCCTTTTTCCTTCCTCTTTGAGAGGTGGGACTGTGTGGCTGCTCCAGACAAGTTGCAAAACCAAAGAGAAACTCGGTCAGTTCACTGCTTTCCTGCACTATGAAGAGGTGTACAGGGAAAAGGGATCTATCACTTTTGAAGGGCTGTGTCTGTATGGATGGGGATCTGACTCACCATTGCACTCCAAACACCTTCCTTGCAGCACTGGCAGCAGCCTGATGCCTCAGAAGAAGAATCCTGACAGTCTGGAACTGATCCGCAGCAAAGCTGGACGAGTGTTCGGACGGGTGAGCCTGAGAAAGAAGCAAGTGGGAGGGGAAACTGCTCCTACCAGGGCTGAAGCATCTTCCTTCTCCCTCTGCACAAAGAGCTGTGCTCTGAACCTGTGCTGGTGGATGTGTCTGGCTCTGTAACTCCCTGCCCTGCCTGTTTCTCTCTGCAGTTGGCTGCTATTCTCATGGTCCTCAAAGGACTCCCCAGCACTTACAACAAGGACCTGCAGGTAAAGCACTTGTTGGTTTTCACACCATCTCTCTGAGCACATACAACTGTCTTCTGCTCTGTTGAGGAGTCAGAAGAGCTGGCTGTTGGGTTTTTGGGCTGCATCACGTTGACTTACAGCCATTTCCATCCCTGTTCTGACACAGGAGGACAAGGAGGCTGTTTTTGATGTTGTGGACACCCTGAATGCTGTGCTCCAGGTTGCCACAGGAGTGATTTCGACCCTCCAAGTAAGGCTTCTTCTTCAGATTCTTGCTGTTGAACATGGTCATGGTGCACATTCTGTCAGTAACACAGGGAAGAGAGCTCTAGTCCCAAGATGAAAACTCTTCAGTGCCTCACCCATAGTGCTCAGTTTGGTCCCCTCTGTCAGCTGCTCAGGGGGTCTGAGCATCCTTTTAGAGCCGGGACCTTTCCAGATGAATTCCCCTCACTTTGACCACTAATGTGCCCCCAAGGAGGAGCTGATGATAACACCTCCACCTGACTGTCCTGCAGATCAACAAGGAGAACATGGAGAGGGTACTGAGCCCGGAGATGTTGGCTACTGACCTGGCTCTCTACTTGGTTCGGAAAGGAGTGAGTATCAGAGGGAAACCTGGAGCGGTGACTTCTTTGGATGCAGAGAATTGCTCAGTGAGATGAGGCCCTGTGTCCTGTCCCCTTCTCACTGCAGATGCCGTTCAGACAAGCCCACGTTGCCTCTGGCAAGGCCGTCCACCTCGCCGAAACCAAAGGCACCACCATCAATAACCTCAGTCTGGAGGACCTGAAGAGCATCAGGTTTGTGTCACTGTTACCTTGCCTTGACTTCCCTCCACAGGATCAACCTCCCTGGGAATAAGCCCTTCCCCAAAGTGCCTGGGCCCGGCAGCACCCCAAAATCCTCCTGGCCTGAATATCAAGGCTGTTCCTCTTAGGACTGAAAAGACTGAAGGGGGACAACATTGCTTCCATTCTGCTGCAGCTGGACATGTGCATCAGCTCTTGGGAGGGACTGGGAGAAACTCATACCCTGCCCTAGAGGCACCAGTCCCTTGAGGGGTTTGGCTCTGAACTTCCTTGGTCTCCCCTTGGAGCTGACTCTTTGGTCTGCCACCAGCAGCTGCTCTGAGGCACCAGAAGTGCAGGAGCAGGGCTGCAGGAGGCCTTTCCCTTTGGAAAAATGCTCCATCCTCACTCTCTCACCACCTCTACAAACAACGAGCATCTTTAGCAGCCCAGAGCCCCCCGTGCTGTCCACTGACCGCCCTCCCTTTGCCCCCAGCCCCCTGTTTGGCAG